AGAGCTGGGGCTGCTGGGTCCTTTGGGCCCCTCCTAGTGCGGTGTGACCAGGGACAATTGGGCGGTGAGGGACACCGGGAGAGGGACCCTTGGCATCCTGAAGGCACAGTACCAATGCCCGTTGTACCGGTTCTTGTTGTGCCCTTTAATTCTTGTTGTTCTGTCTCTGCTTTTCCCGGAGTGCTCTCTGTTTTCTCTGTAGTTCCCTCCACTTTCTGCGCAATTCAGGCATCATCCTGGCGCAGCTCTGGGCTTGCAGTTGCCCAGAGAACCGCAAGCAACAAGGCTGTGAACTCCCCACCCGCCCCAGGGAGCCCTTCTATCAAAAAAGTTAGCTTCAAAGCCCAGTTGGAAGTGGTGGATATGAAGCAAAAAGTCAACAAACATTTCCCTGGAGTCTTGGCACCGAGATGTCTTTTTCTTTTTCTTTTTGCTCAATTCCCAGCTGGTCAGCAGCCTGAACTTCTGCCTACCCACCCCCCACGCCTGGCAGCTTCAGCCCTGCCGTAGTAGTAGTGCCTGCTGAGGACGGCGGCACGCGACCCGACCTCTGACCCGAACCAGGAGCCCTGTCCCCTTCAGACAGGGGGCCACACTCCTCTCAAAATGAACTGGCTTCGGGCCTGGCACACCTGGGTTCTGGGTGGAGCTGCTCTCGGTGGCGGCCATGTGGTCTCAGGAGACTTATTCCACCACCTTGGGCACTTGTATCCCTTTCTGTAGAGTGGGGATGGTAACCCCTCTTCTCAGGTGATTCTGAGGAGGAGAAAATGACTCTACAGAGTCACTCAATCATTTACAAAACATGTATTGATTATAGCTATGTGCCAGGCACTGGGGGATGAAAGCCCTTGTTAAACTGTAACGCGCTGCACAAATGCGGCATTCTCAGGTGCAGGAAATTCACTACTAACTGGGTCCGATTGGGTGCAGTTGCTCCGTTTCCCTCACCTGTCTCGCCTCCAGGTAGGATCAACTGCTAGCTACCTGAATACTGTCCTCCCGTAAACGTTCAAGGCAAAGCTTTAGTAAGACTCAATACACAGAAAATACCAACTAGCCTTCGAAAGATCTATGGTGACAAAGCCTCTGTGTGTTTGGAGCTTTATCCTGCCCCAGAAGGTTGTCTATAAAAGGATGGTCACGTTTTTGCTACTGCTCCGGCATTGACAAGTAGGGTCCCACCCAATGGCCAAAGAGAAGCTAGTTTCACATTCTAAAGAGCTAGCAATAGCCTGACCGGTGTGGCTCAGTTGGTTGGGCATCATTCCATGCACCAAGAGGTCGCCAGTTCGATTCTCAGTCAGGGCACATGTCCAGGTTGCAGGCTTGGTCCCCAGTAGCCAATAGATATTTCTCTCTCTCATCAGTGTTTCTAACTCTCTCTCCTGCTCCCTTCCTCTCTCGATTTAAAAAACACACGACATATTTAAGAGTTGGCAACAGTTGGTGCCAGAACACTCCTCTCTCCACAAATCCTCAGGGCTTCCTAACAGTCAAGACTGGCCCTGCCACCGGGGGCCTCTCGGCTTCCCCCTCCTTCTTCCCCTCTGGCCTACACGATCAGAGGTCTAGGAGAGGGTGAGCAGACAGGAGAGGGAGTCATCACAGGGGTCAGCTTGTGGGCGGTGAAGAGCTCCATGGGAAGAGCATAAGGGCTAGAAAACAGATGATACCCTCCCATTAGGATGATCTTAACAAAGAGGCCCACACAGGGTCATGTGGTCATTCAGGGGTAGGAGCAGTAGAATTATCACCACTTCTAGGCCCAAAGGGATGAAGGGAGGGGGCTGAAACCAGAACCCAGAAAGAGAGAGCCATCTCTAGACCGGTTAGAAATTTTTTTCAGTGGTTGGGCAAGATATTGGTGCGCCCTACGTATAGCAGTGGCAGGAGGGTTGGAGAGAAAGGTGAAAATATGAGAGCTGTTTCGAAGGCAGACTTCTGAGGCCTGCACATGGAAAGCATTGTGAAGGAAGAGAGGGAGGAGAGGGCAACTTATAGGTTCAGGCTTGGGCAACTGGGTGAATGGTGGTGTCATTAATTTTGATTGGAAACACAAGAGGATTGGAGGATCCACATTCAGTTTGGGACCCGCCGGGTTGAGAGGACTGTAAAACATCTAGGTCAGTGGTTCTCAACCTTCTGGCCCTTTAAATACAGTTCCTCATGTTGTGACCCAACCATAAAATTATTTTTGTTGCTACTTCATAACTGTAATGTTGCTACTGTTATGAATCGTAATGTAAATATCTGATATGCAGGATGGTCTTAGGCGACCCCTGTGAAAGGGTCATTCGACCGCCAAAGGGGTCGCGACCCACAGGTTGAGAACCGATGATCTAGGTGGAAATATCCCGTATTCCTTCCGTCAGAAAATGACATCTGCGGCTCAGAAGAGAGACCTTAGCTAGAAATACAGAATGACATTGTACGCAAACAATTACGGACGATTATTACTGCATATGCTAAAGTCTGCCATGTAACATGCACACAATGCATGAGATCTGACACTGGATTTAAAGAAATGAGTCCTCGGTATTTTGAAAAATTGTCTGTTACCAAGCTAGCTTATGGCCACTTCTGAAAACAGAATATCAGTTTGCTGGCCCATGCTAATTACTGTCCACAGAATAGCCATTTAACAGAAGAGAAAATTGAGGTCCAAAGAGATAAAGTGTAGCAGTTGGGATTATTATTCTTCCAAGTGACCGAAATCTCAGTTTACATGATCTTAAATAAGCAAAGGGATTTATTGGCTCAGATCTAAGAGTGATTTTGGCCTCAGGCACAGTTGGATCCAGAGGCTCAGAAAATGTCATTGAGACACAGTGTCTCTACTCATCTCTTCATTCTGCTTTTCTTCAAACATTTGCTGGCTTCACTCTCTGACTGGCCCAGGTTCACGAGAGCAAGATGGCTGCAGTCACTGTGAGCCTCACAGGCTCACGCCTTCAAATCTAGTGAAAAGATAAAGAACGTTTCTCTCCCAGAAGCCCTTGTACAGATCTCAAGTCTTCTCATTGGCCCTAAACCAGTGGTTCTCAACCTTCCTAATGCCGCGACCCTTTAATACAGTTCCTCATGTTGTGGTGACCCCCAACCATAAAATTATCTTCGTTGCTACTTCATAACTGTAATTTTGCTACTGTTATGAATCATAAATATCTGATATGCAGGATGTATTTTCATTGTTACAAATTGAACATAATTAAAGCATAGTGATTAATCACAAAAACAATATGTAATTATATATGTGTTTTCTGATGGCCTTAGGCGACCCCTGTGAAAGGGTCGTTCGGCCCCCAAAGGGGTCGCGACCCACAGGTTGAGAACCACTGCCCTAAACGGTCCTGTCTTAGCCCTGACCCATCTCTGTGGCCAGAAAAGCGAGATGTGCCCATTGGATTGGGGCAGTGAGAGCCTACTCATAGAATGGGGGAAGGGTGGAGTCCACTTAAAATTAGGATTTCATGCCAGGCCGGTGTGGCTCAGCAGTTTAGCATCAACCCAGGAACCAAGAAGTCACGGGTTTGATTCTCCAGTCAGGGCACATGCCTGGTTTTGGAAGCTCAATGTTTCCATCCCTTTATCCCTCACCCTTCCTCTCTCTCTAAAAATCAATAAAAACGTATTTTAAAAAAATAGTGTTGAATGCAAACTGTAATAGAAAAATAAAAATTAAAAAGAAAATTAGGATTTCATAAAGAGGAGGAGTGTTCCCATGTGCACACGTGAAAAACGGGGTGCTGCCACCCGAGAAGAGATGCTGGGGAGGGAAAAACACACAATGACCACAGGAAGAAGGCACCTGATTGAGGTCACTCAGCTCATCAGCATCAGCGCTAGATCTCAGGTGATCAGCCCCTGGTGATTTCCTCCTAACCTTATTGCCACCTGAGGCTTTGCTTCCAGCAATGTTCCTGGGGACATCAGGTGGTCAGAGGCCAGAAGTGGGTTAGGAAGAAACATAGGAGTGATAAAAACTTAGAGAGGTCACAAGTCCTTAGGATCTTCCAGTGGCCCAGGTCACAAACTAGGCCAAAGGTGGACTAGAGGGTAACAGGGCCAAAGGCACGGCGCCAGGTGGGGAGGCGGGGAAACAAGCTGCCGGGACCGCTGGCCCAGCCCACATTCCCGTGTCCTGGAACGAGTCAGACCACAGAAGCCAGGGAACTTTCAAGACCTGTGAAGAGCCGGTCAGGAGCAGCCCACCGTGGTTTCTAAAAGCGTCTCCAGTTCATCTGCACGGTCAAGTTATTGCATGTGACTCTGTCACTCTTTCCTCTCTGCCTTCTCTGTCACACAGTTTTGCTGGTTCTGGTTATTTTTAGCTCAGTCCGGGCCCTTGGGGAAGCATCACATCCAACTCTCTTGTTTTGCAAAAGACAGAAATGAGATTCTGAGTTGACTAAGGTCACATGCTTACTATCAGAGCTGATCTCCGATGGGGGTCTCCAGGTGTCCAGCTCAGGATTCCACGCACCTGGCTGTCTCCAGCCACCTCTTTGTGGTCTCAGCAAGGCACCCATCTGGGCTCTGCCTTGTTAAAGCGATGATGTTCTGCTGGGACTCATGGGTCCAGGTAGTTCTTACCTGAGAAACAGGGTGAGTTCCCAAAGAAGATTGAGAACAGTTCCCGGGTTTTGTGTTTTATAGGTTCTCAGTCTCTCTCACGAAGCTCACTAGACCTGGGGGACTATATACCAAGAGTGAAAATTCATTGCAAGCCATTGCTGAGTCCTGTCTCTCCCCCTAAGGGCTGGACACTGGGACACTGAACTTGGCGCGTCTTTACAGGAAGGATCTCCGAAGCATGCTTGTTGGGGAATTGGCCTGCAATCAGCCCAGGGCCCACTTAATTTCTTTGCTCTTGAATAGTGGCTTCCCTTTCCCTTTTTGCACTCTGTGCACTTGCACAGAGACTCAGGGTCTCTGCTCCGCTGTGCCATCTTGAAAGTCTTCTTAATGGTTTTATCTTGGAACTTGTGTTTTGTCAGTGAAGTCCAGTGGGACAATGGAACATGCCTGGGAACAGAGGAGATGCTTATCATAACGGACACAGCCTCCCATGGAGCATTCACGATGCCCCTGAGCACAGAATTCAGCTGCACCCGCGATGCATGAAGTTCAGCGAGACTCGGAGTGAGTACAAGGCGAGTGCGTTACATTTGCCACCGAGAGGCCACGCTTCTGTTCAAATCAGAACCTGCTTGGAACACAGGAGGAGGCAATGGCATTCTAAGAAACGCAAATGACTAAGGATCCCCCATCACATCCTTATTCATGCTACTTCCATGAATTAGCCAACACTTAGGCTGAAATTGTAACATGGGAGGAAAGGGAAAGGTAGGGCAACCCGTAATTCCTTTGTCTCTCGGTTCTTCCTTGCTCATCAATGAGGCAAAGGCAGGACATGTAGGTAGGATATGCACAGATCAAGAAGTAAAATAAAAACAATTGCGATATTTATTTTTGCAGCATTTGTGCTGTTCTGGTAACAAGGATATCCATACGTGTGTGTGAGCTACAAAACACAGTTGTGCAATTTCAGTGATTCTGCAGTCGAGTTCAATGCTCATATTTGCCCTTAACACTAACATTGCACAATATAAAGACAAATGGTAAAATTCATGCTCATAATCTTAAATTATTCTTAGATCAGCACCAAATAACAAATATAAAACACCATAAGATGGGAAAGCGAATTCTTAACTTGAAAGAAAAAAGAGAAAGCTTTATATTTTAGTATATTTAATGACACGTTTTTTCCTGTGTTATGAAAAAAGGGGGCCCACATTTTCCTTTTGCCCTTGAACCCCATAAATTGTGAAGTCCTCCCTGCTTTTCTGGCCTCAGAAATTAGCTCCTCAGATTCTGTTGCTTCAAATCAATAGCTTGAACCACTTACTATTTTGATCCCTCGTCAGTACCTAGCCATTTTTCTTTGAAATATTAAGTTGTTACTTATGCTTAATGCTGTTGAATTTATAGTTTGCTGTATTCATTTGCTAGGGCCACCATAACATAATACCACAGACTGGGTGGCTAGAACAACAGAAATTTATGTTATCACAGTTTTGGAGGTTAGAAGTCCAAGAGCAAAGTGTTGGCAGTTTTGGTTTCCTCCAAGGCCTCTCTCCTTGGCTTGCAGACAGCCGCCTTCTGTAAGAAGAACTCACATGGTCACATGGTCTTTCCTCAGTGTGTGCATCCCTGGTCCAACTTGGTCTCTCTCTGTCCAACTTTCCTTTTCTTATAAGGACTTTCATCAGATTTGATTAGGGCCCATATGAAGGCCTCATTTTTGCTTAATCACTTCTTTAAAGGCCACTATCTCCAAATATAGTCACATTCCGAGGTACTAGGGTTAAAATGTCAACATACAAATTTTGAATTTTGAATTCACCCCCAAAACAAGGGTTTTCACATTGTTTAATGTTTATAACTGCCTTGAGGGAGCAACCAGTATACATATTTTGCAAATCCATTCATTCATTAATTTGACAAGTACTGGGTGCTTACTAAGTGCCAAGTATTGTAGGCTAGATGCTAAATATATGACAATCAAGGAGACAGGCAGGTCCCCACTCTCATGGAAATTAGGCTCTAGTGGGAGGGACAGGCAAAAAGCAATTAAACAAATAAAACAATCGCAGACTGTGATAAATGCAAGTAAGACCACAAGGTGCTGTGGTAGAAAATAAAGTGGGAGGGATTTTTGATAGGGTCAGGGAGGGCCGTTCTGAGGAGGTGAGAGTTATCCTGGTTAAACACTGAAAAGGGTTCCTTAATGCAAAAGAGCTCAGGAAAGGCAAGAGCGCAGCCGAAAAATAGCAAGTGCGGAGGCCCAGGGGTGGGAAAGAGCTTAATGTGTCCTAGGTATTGACACAAAGCCAGTGTGCTGGATCATAGGCTGGGATGTGACGTGTGGAATGAGATGACAGGAGCAGGGCTTGTCAGTCTTGGTTTAGGAATTTAGTATGGGTTCTGAGGGCAACGGGAAGTCACGGAAGGGTTGCTGGTGGGAGAGAGGGGGCCTGATCTGCCCTACAGTGTGAAGGGTGGATTGGTGGTGGGCAGGGTGGGAGGTGGAGAAACTGAGTCTCAGAAGCATTCAGTTTAGACTGCATTTCACACAACTGCTGAGTGATGGGGCTGGGCAGGTACCACAGGGGGCAGGGATGTTGCCTTATAGCCCCACAAACATGGAGGAGGGCGCCCCCTGCGATTTCAAATTCTCTTTAACCCTCTTTTGAAGGCAGGTCTTCTAGGGTGTGAGGAAGGAATCTCCCAGCCCTTGATTATGGAATGTACAGAAATTCCCCAACCACATTTCCAAAAGACACATATAGACATTTGAGGTGAAGAGAAGGAGCTGAGGCTGGGTTGGAAATGGAATAAACAGAAGCAGGTCATGGGCTGGATTTGGCCAAAGGCTATAGTTTGCTGACTCACCTACTAAAAATAAGAAAATTACTGTGCTTAGCCTTCCTTCCCTCTCATTTTCCCAGATTTTGCTAATATTATTTTCACCTTGTTAGGGCTTATGATGTGTATATTCTTCTGTGCTAACTTTATGTGATTAGCCTTAGCTGTGAAATTTGAAAACTTTGTGCTTATCTTAGTTCATTCGGGCTGCTATCACGAGACTTGTAACAACAAACATTTATTGCTCTCAGCTCTGGAGGTTGGGAAGTCCAAGATCATGGCTGTGTCAGTTCGGTGTATAGTGAGGGCCCACTTCCTGGACAGCCGCATGGTCACTGCAACCTCACGTGGAGGAAGGGGTGAGGGATTGCTCTGGGGTCTCTTCTATAAGAACGCTAATTCCATTCATAAGGGCCCCACCCTCCTGACCTAAGCACCTCCCAAAGGTCCCACCTCCTAGCACCATCACCTTGGGGGTTAGGATTTCAACATGTGAATTTTAGGCGCAAGAAAACATTCAGACGACAGCAATATTTCACACTAGTTTTATTTTTCTCATAGTGTTTTCATTCATGAGCTTTTCATTATTATTCAACTCTTGTTCAATGGGGATTATTTGTCAAATAGTTTCGTTTGTTTTTGCTTTAAAAGGAGTTCGTGAGTTTTCTATTTCTTGAACTCTTTCATCTCAGAAAAGCTCTTTCTTGTATTTGCAGACTTGATAACACCTGAGTTGGCTTAATAGTCTCGGGTCCCCTTGTTTCTCTCAGAGGGTTGTGGTCCCTGCTGCATGGTCTCTGGGCATTGGAGTTGCCATGGAGAAGCTTAAAACCCACCTGACTTCTTCCCTTCACCAGGCTGACTGGCCTTTGTCTCCCTGAATGTCTGAAGGATTTTTTTTTTATCCTTCACATTTATCATATTAACCAGGAAATATCTTTCGATTTTGATCATTCTGTATGAAATTTTCCTGACCTAACCCTTCTTACTTATGAATGCATTTTTTCCTTTCAGGACATTCTTCCTAGGTTATATCTTTGAATTCTTTGTTGTTTTCCTTTATACTCTAAGGATGCCCATTGTTCTCATGTTGAATAATGGTTTGTCTCAGTATCTTTCATCTTTACTTTAATCGCATTGGCTTTTCATTTCGCATTTTCTATGATTATCCCGGCTACCTCTCCATTCCATTTTCAGCCCCATTTGTCTCTCCTTTGCCACTTATGATTTATTAGATCTATACCAATGCTGTTTTGTTCCTCAATTTTTTCCTTAGCTCTGCTTTCATCTTAGTCAATTACTTTATAATTTTTCTTTGAGATCTTGTCTTATTGAATTCACATTCTTCATGAATCTTTTCTACTCAACATCCTTCCAACACTCAAAGAGAATCAGCATGTCTCCTTTGGATTTTATTTTCTTCCCATGGGCTTTTTGCTTGTTTATTTTGTCTCTTTCTTGCCTACTGCCTCCCTCATTTTTGTTGCGGTAGATTCGCAGCATTTCTTTTCATTTTGCTCAACTTTAAGGAGCAGCTGTGTCTATAGTTTCTCTGAAATGGGGTGGATGGACCTTCCTAAACACCCTTCCCGCTTTTATCTGGGACCATTTTGTCTTCCCTCCTCCAGGGTATGATTTGAGAGCTGAATGTAGCTATTTGTTCTTCAATTAGAGAGTAGCGTTTTGAATTCCCTAGTTTGTTGACTAACTCTGCTTTGGGGCGGTGGGGTGGCCTTGGGAGCTGCACTCAGTCACATCTGAATCTCTTTCATTCCAGGGCTGCCAAACCTAAGAGATTATGGATCAAATAGTATCCCTTTCCCCTCTGGTTGCTCCTGATGAATGATTGGCCTTAAAAAAAAAATAACCATTTCATCAGATGTGAGATGTTTCTGTGATCTTGTTTTATTCTGCTAGCTTTCTGTGAAAGCTGGGTATTAAAGTAAGAGTCAAGTAAAATGTTTTAAATTTTATTTTTAAATTACAGTTTACACTCAACATTATCTAAAGAACAAGGTAAACAAACAAATAAAACAGAAACACTCATAGATACAATCTGATGGTTGCCAGAAGGAAGGAGGGCTGGGGAACTGGGTGAAAAGGGTGAAGGGGTTAAGAAGTACAGATTGGCAGTTACAAAATAGTCACAGGGATGTAAAGTACAGCATAGGGAATATAGTCAATAATATTCTAATAGCTATGCATGGTGCCAGGTACATACAGGAAATATCGGGGGAGCACTTTATAAAGTATATAATTATCTTTAATTATCTAACTACTAAGCTGTGCACTTGAAATTAATACAAATAATATTAAAGAGTCAGGTACAGTTTTGTATGAATTGAATTTTGAAAAGAGATAGACTAGATCAATGTTAAAGTCTCTTTTAGCTTGACATTCTAAAACATGATACATATGTCAGCAGAGGTCACCCAACTATTACAAATGATCATGATGTTCAAAACCAATTTTAGAAGAGGCATTTCAATGTTCTGAGCGCTAGAGGGCAGGCCATGGCCACAACTTGAAATGGTTCCATAACAGTAAATAGTTAACCATTGTCCAATGAGTTATATGGAATTCGTTTAAACTTTTGCAAAAAGTGTGCAATGGGAAAGCTGGGAGGGGAATGGAGCCAGGATTATCTGGCAGGCAGGAGCTGCTACTTATCTGCAAGATGAAGCCCATGTTTCTTTCTCTTGCCACCTGCATCC